GTCTGGGGACACATCCAGGATCCCAGCACTCTGCTGCCAGTCACCTCCCAGCTCCAGCACCAGGAGGGAGCACCAAACCAGCACCAAACCAGCACCAAACCAGCACCAAACCAGGACCAGAACCCCCGTTGGCACTGGAGGATTGACCCGCCCTGCCCTGCCATGCTCTGAACTAAAGGATTGAGTAGAAGATGATGGAAAAGCTGGAAAAGGACCAGTTTGGTTCATTGACCCTGGGGCATCTCCCAAAGTCCGACGAAGTGACCCCAAAATGCAGTTCCTGTAGGATGGGGCAGCCTGTGGGAGCCACTCCGTGTCGTGGAAGGGGATTTGGTGTCCCTGAAGATCCTGCCTGGCTGTTGGAAGAGCCACACAGGAATTTCTGTGCAGCTGGAGAATCTGGGAACAACCTTAACAGCCCACACTGGCCCAATCTCCTCCCACCCACAGAGATCCACAGCTTCAGCCCTCTTTTTGGTAAAGTTTGGAATAACTCAGCAGGAACTTGGACTCACATCCCTTCCCTTCTTGCCCCGATCCAGGAAAAGTTGCCCTTTCTCAGGATTTTCCAAATCCCAGCAGACCAGGGTCATTGCTGTTCCATGCACCTTCACCGACCCTCCCCTTTCACCCCCAAATATTAAGGTTTTCCTGGTTGAACCCATCCCAAACAAACCCCTTTGCTTAAATCATCTGCTTCATGACTCGGGATGCTGAGGAGCTTCCCGAGGATTTCCATGGGCTCAGGGCACACCCTGAATCCCCCCCATGCCCTGGGGAGGTGCTGGGCCTGCACCCACCCGTGGAAGAAGGATAAAATATTCCTCGCTGGAGCTTTGGGAAGGAGTTTTTGATTTCTTTTAACCCGTGGAGGAACTGGAGAGAGCGAGAGAGGCAGAGCTGGACAATCCAGCGCTGAGCTTCCCACGCAGGAGCTGGGGGGGAGGCTTTGTAAAACTTGGGAAAAGCAGGAAAATTCCTCCACCTGTTTGCTTTTAAATAGGGATTTGTGGGGGTTTTTTTGGTGAGGAAAGGGAGGAATAAAAGCTGGAGGGCCACAAACAGCGCCCGGATCAGAACGAGGGGCAGGACCCGCCGCTCCACACCCACAGGGGCCGAAGGAGCAGCCGCTCTTCCCGGCTATAAATCCCGCCGGATCCGGGTTATTGAGATGCAGGGAGAGGGGGGAACGAGGTGAAGGGAGACTCCATAAATATTATTGGGGGCGACGGGGCTGAGCGGGGCCGGCGGGCGAGGACAAAGCGCCCATTGAGCTCCCGGCGGAGCCGCGACGGCCCAGCTGCCGCGGGGACCGGGACGGGGGTCAAGGTCAGAGGTGGCCCCTGCCTGCATTATTCCCACCCTCCCCCCCCCCCCCCCCGAACCCTTTTCCTCATGCCCATAAACTTAATAAAGCTCCCCGGGAGTCCCTGTGCCCGCGGAGGGCGGTGGGAGAAGCCGGAGCTGGAAGGGAAAGCGAGGGAGGGCGCGGGGTTGTGCCCGCTCTGAGGTGGCTTTGTGCCCTTTTGGGGGTCTGTTTAATGACAGATAAACTTTGTTTAAAACTCTGGTGGGCTTGGCACCCCCAGCTCTGGGCTGAAGGAACCCCAGGATGGGGTTGAGCTCACCCCTGCCCACCCCGAACCACCCGGCGCCCTGTGCCCGCTTTCCCCCATTCCCTCCATCCCGGGGGTTTCTCCATGTGGATATAGAGCTGGAGCCTTCAGCTGGGCACAGCCCCCTCCCCAGGACCCCGGGGGCTCAATCCTGCTGCCACATAAACTTGGGTTTTCCCCCATCTTTGACTCCCTTGGCAACGCTCGCTCGTTTCCATGGCGAAGAGCCGGGAACCTCCACGTGGACTCTGAGCTTTCCCTCCGGGTGGAATTTGGCTCCTTTCACCGGGGTGCTGCCCCTTGGGGGAGGTCCCCAGCACCCCTGGGGGCTGCCCACCCTGGGGTGGGGCAGTTCTGAGCCCGCAGAGCACGGAGGGTTTGCCTGGGAATAGATATGGAGCAAGCAAATCCTCTTCTGGAAAAGGAGAGGGGTTTGTGGTGCCCCCCAAAACGCTGCTCCTCACCCCTGCAAGCCCAGCTCTGGAGCCTCAGGGCTTGAAGGCAGAGCCATGTCCAGCTGCAGGGCAGTTTTATTCCAAAATCATCCTAATGAGCCAGTTTTCCTTTGCTTTTCCACGTCTCCAAGGCTTAATGAACTTCGGCAAACGAGGAGCAGGACATGGGGACAGCGCTTGGTGCTGGTGGGTGCTTTGGAGCTGCTCCCAAAGGGATGTGAGTCACTGCAAGATCAGGATTCCCTCAGAAAAACCGAATGGAAAGGGTGGGGTATTTTTCAGTTTCACCAAAAAGATCCCACACTCTCTGCTCCCCTCGGAGCTGCCAAAGGAAGGGGTTTAATTCTGCTTTCCATCCTCGGTGGGTAAAAATTCCACGTGGGAGCAACAGCAGTGACAGACCCTCCGTGGGGACATTCCCTCCAGGAATCACCCAGAGCCCCCATTTTTCACCCCAGAGTCCCCATTTTTCACCCCCAGAGCCCTCATTTTTCACCCCAGAGCCCCAAATCAGCATTTCTGTGGGTGCAAGACCCCTCCTCTGGCATCACTGGGTTTTCCCACCTCCATCTCCCCGGGAGGAGGGAGGGAACTCCTTCCTCTCCACGCTTCCCTCTTGCTGCAGTGGAAGCGAATTCTTGCAGCAGTTCATGGCCTGAAGGAGCCTTAAAACCTCCCAAATTTGACAGCCAAAAATAGCTGTTGCTCTGCTTGTTTCCAAGCGTTCACTCATCCCGATTTATTTGAATTCCTGCCCACGCTTTGAATCCCAAATCCCGGGCAGAGGAGAGGGGAGAAAACCTGCATCAGTCATGGAAATGCTCCTGTGCTCGTTTAACAGGGGGTGGGATTGTAATTTTTCCTTTGCTGGAAGGATGCCTCCTGCTCCATGGGTGCTGGGGAGGGCTGGAAAAGCTGGAAAACCTCCTGGAGTTAATCGTCTCCTGGGATTTCCAAGTATTGGGATTGTGTGGCTGCTCCAAGAGGGTTTTTCCCAGCCCTTGGTATTCCTGTTTGGGGGAGAGAGGATGGTGGCACGGCCCTGCCCCTCCTCTCTCCTGTGCCAGAACTGATCCATGTGGATGGAGCAGCCCCTCAGACCCTCAGCATTCCTCCTTTTCCATCCAGGGGGTGCTGGAAAGGGAAATTTGGCAGATTTTCAGTGCAGAAGGAGCCAGGTCAGGAATCCACAGGGAAAACCCAGCACAGGGGGCACGTCCAGGACGAGGCTCCTGGTGGGGTGGACACATCCTGCACGGAAAATCCTCTTTGCAGCAGCTTGAACAGCCCCAAATCTCCCTCCTTGGAGGTGTTTGGGGTCACCCAGGGCCGACTCTGGGGTCACTGTGACCCCTCTTGGGAAGTTTGGGAACTGTGGAGGGTTTGTGATCCCCCTGCCCGGTGTGAGGGTGAGGAGGGGCTCCAAACCTTCCCAAAAAGCTGGAAAAGGAGGGATGAAGGGCTGTGGGGGGAGGAAGGTGCCCCCCCATCCTCCTTGTCCCCCGAAACAGGCTCAGCTCTCCTCTCACGCTGCTGGGAGGAGGGAGATTAATCCCTATGGAAATTTATTTAAATGAATTCCCTCCTGGATGCTCAAGCTGTTCCAAGGCTGGCAAGGGCAGGGCTGGGGGGGGGGAGGAGGGAGTGCAGACCCCCCTGGGCACCCCAATCCCCCATTACAGCCCCATCTCCCAGGGGTTGTTCCTCCCTCAGGCACTTCTGGGTTGTGCCCCAAACCCGGGTTTGAACCCCCAGATCACCCCAGGGCTCCCTGGGAGGTGCCTTGGTCCCATGTTGGAGCAGGGAGAAGGTGCTGGTGGCTCTCACTGTGTCCCAGAAAATGCTGGGGGGAACATCCCAAGGGGTTTGGGTTTGCTCCAGAATCCACAGGCCTCGCTCAGCTCCTTAGGGAAAAATCAGCTGAGTGTTCCAGTCGTGAGAAATCCTGGTTTTCCTGCCCCAAACACCTCAGTTTGTCACTTAAATTCACCCTTAAATAGATCCAGCTCTTCCCAGGTTAAACAGATCTGGTTCTTCCCATTCCCACTACACTGGATGATTCCCATTCCTCACTGCACTGCTGGGAAGGGGCAGGTGGAGATGCTTTGGCTGCCTGGAGGTGGAGAGAGCACCACAGCCAACCCCAAAATCCTGGAAAGCCTGGACAGACCCCTGGAAATGGGGATCCAGGGCACCTGGACAAGGCTCCTTCGGGATGGGGCACAGGTGTGGGATTGTCAGTGGGAAATCCAGGAAGGGGGTCTGGTATGGAATTGCAGTGGGAAAAGCTGGGTTTGAGGGGGGTTGGTCTTGCAGGGGACCCCTCTGGTAGGACCCCCCCATTTTCAGCATCCTGGAGGAGGAGCCCAGGGGGGCTCTGGCAAAATCCAAAGGGTAAGAGAATCAGGGAGAAGCTTTTCCAAAAGCAATATTCCCACTGGAGCAGCAGCACGTGCAAACACACCTTCCCCATCCCGTGTGGGCATCCTGGTTGGGGTGCAGGGTGTTCCTGGGCATTCCTGGGCATCCCTGGGGAAATCCCTGTGCTTGGAAGGGATCAGGGTTTCTGCACTGACCCCCCACCCCACACAGATCCAAACCCCAAAGGGGGAGATCCCTCAAAGGGAATCAGTGCCGGGGGAGCCAACAGGGAGAGTCACTTTTGGGGGATTTATGGAATGTGGGACCCCATAAAGCAATACCAGAGCCTGGACAGGCAGAGGGGGGACACAAGGAATGCCCCAAGGAGCCAGTTAATGAGGGAATTTGGGCTCAGGAAGGGCAGAGGGAAAAGCTGGGAGCAGGGAGGGGGGGGGGGATGCAGCCATAGGGATAACACAGGAGACTGGAATTGGGAGGGGGGGGGTGCAACCTGGGATAGTGGGAGGTGTCCCTGCCCGTGGCAGGGGCTGGGACTGGATGGGCTTTAAGGTTTCTTCCAACCCAAATCATTCCAGGATTCCGTGACCCCACTCTCCTGCCATCTCCAGTGATGTGGATTTTCCTGCTCCTGCTGCCACCTGCCCCCTCTCAAGGTGCCCCAAGGTGCCTCCAGGCACTTAAATACCCACTGACCCCAAATTCCTGCCTGTCCCCACCCAAAGGAAGCTGGAGCCAGACCCCAATAGAAATGGCCCCAAGTGCACAGCGGGACTGGGATGGAGGGAGGGATTTGGGAAGGGAATTGGGATGGGGGTGGCACAGCCACCTCTCATCTGTGCCATGGGGGCTTGGCCCTGGCTGGCACTGGGCTCACACCAGTTTCTCCCATCAGCAGGTGACAGGAGTGGATGCTGTGGGGTCCAGGTGACCGAGGAAGGCCGGAGAAAAGCCCAGGTTGGCTCTGGAATGTGGACAGGATCTGTGGGATGCTCATCCCGTGCCCAGGGTAAGGGCTTGTCCCCTCCCTTCCCAAATAAACCACCCCAGGTGTGCCCAAAGGGTCCCACCCGGGGTCCCCTCACCCCTCAGTGCCAGAGGGGACAGCCAGGTGACATTCCAGGAAGCTGGAAGGACACGGAGCCGCTGCCACCCAGCCCAAGGCACCAGGAGGATGATCTGCAGTCAGCGAGGGAAAGGGGAAAAATTCCAGTGCATTAAAGGTGTTGAAAGCCCCCAGTCCTGTCCCAGCCTGGTGTCTGAGCAGAATTTTGCCCCTTTTTCTTGCAGGACCCCCAAATCCCTGCGAGCCTCCGTGTCCAGGGTGTGTTTCCTTCCCCATGGGTTGAGCTTTCCCCTCCCAACCCTCTCCTTCCCCACGGTGGGAGCTGAGGGGTGTCCCGAGGGTGTCCCAGCCCCAGAGGGGACAATGCCCTGTCTCTTTTGGGCTGGGGGGAGGCAGGAGCAGCCCAGCTTCGGGCTGGGGCACTGTGGGCACGTGTGTCACCTCACCCTTGCTCCCTCCTGCTCATTTCCATCCTGGGGACGGGCTGTGACCCCACTTTGAGGGACAAACCCCCCCTCAGCACCACCAGCTCCCAGTTCAACCAGTTCAACCCAGGTGGTGCTGCTGGTCCCGAGGCTCACTCCAGCCCCACAGCTCCTGTTTTCCTGCCTTTAACTCAGATTTCAAGGCAAAAGCAGGAGCTGGAGACCTGCAGCTCCAGCAGCAGACGGGGACAGTGCCCAGGGTCCACCGCAGGGTTTGGTGACTCTGATGGTGACACCAGAGCCCGGAGCTGAGTCTGGCTCTGTCCCCTCCCCAGGGAGGGCTCTGAGATCCCACCAGGGACCGCTTAAAACCCCGCGTGGGGCGTGTCGTGGAGCCGGGACAGCTCCTCCACGGATCCACGGGAAGGACATCCTGGAAACCCCCGGGCTCCCAATCGCCCAGCACGCGCTCGCCCGCCGCCGCCGGCGACCCAGACGCCCAAATATTGAGCTATACATTAAATTAGCAAGGGGGGGAAAAAAAAAAAAAAAAAAAAAAAAAAAAAGAAAAAAGGGGCCGGGAGGGAGCCCCGGAGCACGTTGGAGGGAGCGTGGCAGTTTGTTATGCTAACCGAGGGGGGCTCCGCTCGGGGGGGACGTGTCGGAGAGGTCTGAAGAGCAAGGAGTTCACAGGCCCTCTCCTTTTGTCATGCTAAAAGTGCAACACAGAAAATATATACAGGCAGCTGCTCAATGGAGCGTGAAATACAAGTGATTTCTCCGGGAGCGCCGGGTAATGCGATGCAGAGCCCGGACAATGCCCCGCGCCGCCTTTGTGCGCAATGGGAAACTTTTTTATTTTTGGGGGGGGGGGGGGGGGGTGGATAAACGGGCACGGAGAGGGGTGCCAGCTGCCCCCGGCCTCGCCCAGGGGCGGGAAGTCCCCTGAGTGTCGCCGTGGCTTTGCTGTCCCCTGGCTGCGGGAGCTGTCGGGGTTGCCCGGGGGTCGGTCCCGGCTCGGTGGGCGCCAAATTTCAGCCCTCGGGATTAAAAGTTCCCCCACACACCCGGTGTACACGGGGTGCTGGGCCTGGTACCCCCCGACCGGGCTCGGGAGTTGGAAACCCGTTAATTCCCGACTTTTCCAGCGTCCCGCGGCCCCCGCTCCCTTTGCTGATGCAAATTCGGGCATCCCCGGCAGGAGCGGTGTAAAATCAGCCCTCAAAGGGGCTTTTGTGTGCGGGGGGAGGGCGGCCGGGCCGGGGGGGGTGTGCTCCGAGCATCCATCTTCCACCTTTCCCTCCTTTTTTTTTGTGCCTCGGCGGGGCTGAAAGCCGGCGCTGTGGGGGCTCTGGGGGTCTCCTGGGGCTCTGGATTCGTTCCAGAGGAGCCGAGGGACCGCCCCGGGCAGCCCCAAGTGTTCCCCAGGGTGAGGACTGGGGGAGTCTGGGGGTCCCAGGGGGTCGGGGTGGGGGGGGCAGGACATGGGGACGGCAAAGGTGATGGAGCAGCTTCTTCCCTGGAAGCTGCTTCCCTGGAGCCTGACCTGGCTGGAGATGAGGGATCGGGTCCCTTTGGGGGATCTGGGGGGGATTTTTGGTATCACAGCCCCCGTTGATGGAGGGGCTGCTCAGCGTGGGGGGCACACCGGGGGCTGCACTGCCCGGGGTGCCCCAGGGGTGCCTGGGGAGGGCGGGGGGATGCGGGACCCCCCAAACTCGGGTACCCCAACCCTCGGGGCCGCTCCGGGCACGGGCGGAAGCGACATCTAGTGGGAAACGCATCCCGTCGCCAGGGAGATCCATATCCATGGCAACCCCTTGGGAATACCGGCACCCTGCCTGGACCAGGGGCACCCACCAGCACCCGCGGAGCCCCCCGGGAGGGGGAGCGGGGTGTTCCTGGCAGGACAGGGCTGTCACAGCTCGGGTGACCCCGAGCTCAGCTGGAATGCTCACGGATCCCACCGGGATGTGGGTCCCGGCACTGGGATGTGGATCCCGGCACTGGGATGTGGGTCCTGGCACTGGGATGTGGGTCCCTGCACCGGGATGTGGGTCCCAGCACTGGGATGTGGGTCCTGGCACCGTGGTGGGCACTGAAGTCCCTTCCCATTTATCACCCTGGACCTCTTGCACGGGCTTCAAACCCCTTCAACTCCTCCAGTGCCCACAGGGAGATGCAACCAGACAGAACAAGGGGATAAACACAGGAGAGGATCCCGTTTATCCCACAAGGAAGACACGGGGAAAAGGACACGGCAGGTGGGATGGGCACCGACTGTCCCTGGCATCGCCAGCCCTGGAGGGATGTAAAAGGCAGCAAAGACAACGTGATGAACTGACCACAGCCCCCATTCCCCATCCCCCTGTGCCACCGGGGGAAAGGAAGGAGAGAGTTTGGGAGTGAAGTTAAGCCCAGGAACAAGGGAGGGGTGTGAAGAAGCTGCTTTTAACATTTGATTTAATTCCTCATTATCCTGCTCTGGTTCGATCGGCAACAAATTAAACCGATTTCCCCAACTCGAGTGTGTTTTGCCTGTGACTTTAACGGGTCCCCTCCAGCTGGGGACGGGGAGCCATAGAGCTGCTTTGGTGGATACCTGGGCGCTATCCAGGGGTGCGGGAAGACCCATGGATATGATTTATGATAGATATTCACACATGAACCCACGCGGGGGTCGCGGGGGTCGCGGGGGTCGCGGGGTCCTCCTCTCACGGCGGAGCCGGGACTCGAACCCGCGGACCCGGGACTCGAACCGGCGGCCCTGAGACCGCGCCGGGCCCAGCGCTCCCGGAGGGCAGCGAACAGCCCGCCCCCCCCGCGCGGAGCGGCCTCTCCATTGGTCGATCAGCTGCCAATCATAGTGACAGCGGTCTCCGATTGGCTGGCGGGGCGGAGGAGGCGGTGGGAGGAGCTTCCTGCGGCCGCCCGTGC